TGTGTGTGTCTGTGTGTGTCTGTGTGTGTCTGTGTGTGTCTGTGTGTCTGTGTGTGTGTCTGTGTGTGTGTCTGTGTGTGTGTGTGTGTGTGTGTCGGCTCGTGTACGTCCCATCGACATATTTCTTGTCAGTTCGTCCACGCCACCATGCCTGCACCATCCCCTCACCTCCCACTTCCTCATCTTCATCCCACTCCTCTCCGTCATGTGTCTCATGTGCAGTACAAGCAAAAGCGCTCGCTGTCATGTGCTTGTTCGCCAGCATCAACGGCGTGCCCTCGTGTGCGAACAACATGCTGCTCAACGACGTCGTGCGCGGGCAGTGGAGGGGTGACATGGTGACGATTGGAACAGACTGCGGTGCGATTTGCAAACATGGTCGACACCAACAAGCACGCCCGTGACTTCCGTCGACGCTGTCGCGAAGACGCTGCACGGTGGCGAGGATATGGAGCTCCGGGAGACATACTTCACCACAAACGGCAACTTGGCGCAGGCTGTGCAGCAGAACCGCACGGCAATCCACACAGTGCACAACAACACCGTGCGGCGGGTTCTCAAGGATAGCTTCATCACGGACCAATGGTATGTTTGTTTGTGTGTGTGTGTGTGTGTGTGTGTGTGTGTGTGTGTGTGTGTGTGTGTCTGTGTGTGTGTGTGTCTGTGTGTCTGCGTGCTTGTCCTCGAAGTCTCTTATGGGTGTGTGTCGTTGAACTGATGAAGCGGTGCACGGTTCCTCAATACTCACAATAGTGTTGTCATTATTGCCTCTCACCCCATCCTCCCCCTCCACCCCCACACCCTCCCCCTCCAGGCACGGCCTGCGGACCCAACCCTCACCTCCAGTAACGGCCACTGCACCAGCAAGTGGCCCGATGGCAAGTATGAGCTCGGCCAACGGGTGTGCTGAATGCCACTCCACCAAACGCCACCCATTGCCTCAACCTGTGTGACAGCAACCTCACCAGTCGCGCATTGCCCATTGCCCTCTCCACTACTACGCCAAGGACCACGGCTACGTGCCATGCACCACGTGCGGCATGGGCACCTGGGCCTCCGCCCCGTGCTCCTCGTCCTCCGACGCCGTTTGCTCTTCCTGGACCGAGTGCAAGCCGGGCCAGAAGGAGTCTGTCTCTGGCAACGCCGTGCGCGACCACCGCATGTGCGTGAGCTGCACCCGCGGCATGGAGTACCAGCCGCTGCCGGACCGCGCCTCGTGCTTCCCCACCAGCGTGTGCGAGGAGCCCTTCATCGAGACCATCCCGCCCACGCTCACCACAGACCGCCTCTGCTCCTGCGACACGCTCGCCTGCAACAAGCTCATCACGCAGCTGTTTGAGGAGATGGTGTGCGCCGAGCCCACCGACGAGCAGCTCGACGTGGTACTTGGCGTGTGCTGCTCCAACCGGGGACGAGGATGGCATCCGCGACACCATTCGCCAGATGGATGCCTACGAGGCACGCCGCTCCTGCCCAGGCTGCACAGACACGTGCGAGTGCAGCGCTGGCTTCATCCTTGTCTACGACGCCGACTCAGCCGACTGTCGGCCATGCGACGGCGTGACGGAGTTCTCCCCATCCGTTGGCGGCAGCAAGTACGAGCCCATTGAGGAGTGCGAGCTCGGCCAGGAAGAGGTCGCCGCGCCAACCCGCTCCTCGGACCGCGTGTGCCACGACTGCTCGGCCCGCACCATCGACTTGGACAGCGACGGTTCCACGGGTTGCCAGCCAAGTGTGCCCCGCTGGCCACTACACGGAGGCGGGCTCCCACGGCTCCTGCTCCAGCTTCACCTGCCGCGCAGGCACCCACGACCACGACAGCGACCCTGCCACCCACCCCGTTCCACGATGTCACAGAGTGCGCGCCCGGGTTTGAGGAGGTGCAGGCCATGACGCTCCTCATCAGCGACCGTGTCTGCGACGAGTGTCCTGGAGGGCACGTACAAGGCTGTCTCTGGCCAGCCAGGGCGTGCTCTTGCTTTCCCGTCACGACGTGCGATGCCGGCGAGGAGGAGACGGCCGAGCCCACCCCCACGAGCGACCGCGTGTGCAGCCAGTGCGAGCTCGGCGCCACCTTCAAGCCCGTCGAACGGCCGGGCCGAGTCATGCCGCCCCGTCACGCAGTGCGGTCCGGATGAGAACGAGATCCGCTTTGCGAGCCCACGCGCCAGCACGACCGCCTCTGCCGCAAGTGCGTCCAGGACATGTGCGTGGCCGTGTCGCGTTGCGCGGCCTGGGAGTACATTTCCACACGCGGCCGTGAGCAAGTGTGAGTTTGGCACCTTCCAAAGCCAGGCGCCCACGCTCGACTCTGACCGCGAGTGCACGGAGTGTTCCGAGTGCCCCAGTGGTCGCTACGAGATTCGTGCCTGCTCTGCGCTTGAGGATGTGCAGTGCGCTGGCTGCTCTGCGTGCTCGCCGAACACATACATCCTGCGCGCCTGCGACTCGGAGAACGACGTGTCGTGCCAGCAGTGCAGCACATGCTCCGATGAGCAGT